GACGTCTGACTTTTCTAAAAGAATAAAAAATATTAGCTTCCATGTTCTTATGATAGTCAACATTGCAGTCCTCAAGTTTTTTTCCACATAATTTCAAAGAATTCGGAACCCATCCTTCACTTCCTCCGCAATGCTCAGTGATTAGTCGCGATCCATGAGTAGCCCGTGTATGACCCAGTCGAAGTCGTGAGAGAATTACTTGTTTTCGCCTGTTATCAGGTGTGTTCTTCCATGGTAGAACCGATGCCTTGATGCTGGATAATTTTGAGAGTGATCCATTCTATTGGGATTGCCAACAGTTGGAGAGGATATGTTTGTAAAAGGGTTTCAGATATCGGTACGCAACTTGAAGTTCTGTTGCTGTAATCGGGTTGATAATAGCTTCCTTTGCTAGTTTGCCCGCCATTACCTGCTATTCCTATATGCGATGGAATCCACATAAAATGAATTTGTGATTCTTCATTTTCTTGCAGAGAGTGTATAACTCTTTTCATGAGGAGTATGATGGGGTGATATTTTGAAATGCTGCCTCAAATCCAATGATCTGACTTTTGTGTAATCCGGCCAACAATGTTTTTCTTTATAGTATAGATATCTCAGTAACCTAACCAAATTCTAATATTGGTCTCACAAGTGTGATATAAAGATGTTGTATCGTGAATACGTTCACAAACGAATAGCTAGATCTTATAATACATCACAACATTTTGTTAGCCCTTTTACAAATTTCATCAAAGTGTTTCGAAAATGACAAAGTGTTTCGAAAATGACAAAGTGTTTTCATAAATAATCCCAATATCTTCCACTTCATTTTTTCTGTTAAGGAAAGCATCTCCAATTTTCTAACTAAATTCTATGGGGTTTATTCGCAAAGAAAATGTAAAGATATTACATTAGCCAATATTATTTTCCATGATCCAATCATATATTCTATTATTGTCTTTTTTTAATGCAACACAATCTCTTACAGTTTGATTTCTTTAAAGCATTTGAAATCATCTGTAAAAAGGAGCCCTTTGGAAAAATGTAAAGATGATGTTTGATCATTGATAAATAAAACAAACAGCAAAGGCCCCCAAGGTTGATCCCTGTGGGACACCCGAGTTGATTTCATAGGGATCAGAGTAAACACCATTATATCTGACTACAAAGTTACGATTCTGGAGGTAATTATTGATTGAACCATGGTTGATACCAAATTTGCTGAGTTTTGAAAGCAATATGTCATGATCAACTTTATCGAAAGCTTTCGAAAAATCTGTATGGTGTATGGAAATCTGTAAAATGGTATCAAGTTTTGTAAACATCATTGGTGAATAGGAATAAATTTGTATTTATAGATTTTTTATTAACAAAACCATGTTGCCACTCATCAATAGTATTTTGAGCATGTAATATTGTCAACTGTTGTCACTTCAGATCTACTGAATAAAACAACTATCCATATTGAATATAATAATATTGATAATCCAAAAGCACGAAATTCATTTTAAAATTATTTTCAAATTTCCATTTCACAACATTTTCGGGGTTGAGACTATGTCAAATTGCTACATTGAAAATCATCTATGAATTAGGAAGAACACGTGAATGAATCATTTGTTGGTAGTATATCAGGCCAGCTATTTTACCCTAATTATTAGTTGTTATCAAGCGATCCATTGTGTGAAACAAAGTTTATTAATTAACCGTGTGCCAAATAAAGATAACAGTTGGGCTGTTTTTCGTTAAAATTTGATTTCATTATTTAATATAGTTCCCTCCGAGGGTAATATAACGATTATAGCGGTTACACAATTTTTCAATATCATTTTCATAATACGATTTGTTTGTGATATCTCAGTGAAGACTTATTCAGTTCATTCGAAATAAGCGTCAGACGTAAGTTGTAGATCATAAAATTATCTACAAAAAATGTATTAATACTTTTTTCCTACGAGCCACCGTTTTTGAGATATAACGACTCGAAAAGTTGTAAAAGTTGTGATCGTAATATGCATACGTTTCCACGCCATCTATGAGGTAATGTACTTAGCGCGTTTTTTTAAAGTGGTTTCCCCAGTAGGCATATTCCACGGGTCAGTTGTGATCCTGTTTAATTTGAGACTATTGCAAAATAACTAATATTAGCAGAGATTGAAAAGATAAAAGCAATTTAAGTTAAAAGAAATAGTGAAATTTAACCGCCCGAGTGGTAACTTTCAGATTCTCCTTCTTGTTCTTCTTCTTGATCTTCTCGTTCCTGTTCGTCTTGTTCTTCTTCTTTATGTTCTTCTTGTTCTTCTTCATCTTTATCCTGAATACATGTAAACTGCGTCAAGAGTGATGTATCGCATGTTTCCGTGTTGGTATCAAATGAATCCTCCACTATTGGTGATTCAGGATTAGAACATGACTGGCCTTGACAATGTGTACATGCCAGAGACCACAACAGTCCAACTTTTTAACAACCACATTTAGCACTGCACTCCTTTTTGCAGTTGCAAAAAATTGTGTTTAGCAGTTTTTCCGGCGCAGGTGGAAGTAAAGTTTGGACTGTAATTGTACTTGTTTTTTACTTTTGGTATTTTTAACGAAACATGCATATCTATACTTATCTAAGCAGGTAGTTTGTTTAGGAGCTCCGTGCATTGAAAGAAAAAAGAGAATGACCGATAGAAAAATATTTTAACGTATATTACAACGACCTTTAAATAAATTTTTTCCATACAGGGGAAAGATGGGAAATTTCAAATTTTATTTTTAATCATATTTTAAACAATCTTACTGATTTTCAGCTTGGTGGGAATTTAGGTAGCTTTACTCTTATTTTTTGGTCTAATTTGACCGGACTATCACTGCATTTTTGCCAATGTCATACGGCCAATAAAAAGTATTATGAATATTACTGGAGTTTTACCCCAAACCGTTATTTTTAACACCTCGACGCGTGTTTCAATCCCCAAGACATCATCTTCAAGTTATGCGACGCTTGCCAGAAGCAATACGAAAAAACGTCCGCTATTTTGGAAAAACAATTGATAACTTTTGTATCACAATAATTCATCTAGTCACCCGTCATTTTTTGGCCACCGTATTCACCAGATTTGCATACCTGTGACTTTTTCTGTTCCTATGATTGAAGAGACCTATGGGAAAAATAAAAATTCACTTTAAGTTTTTCAACAGACCTCGTATAGTTCGAATCCGTAGCGCCTATGATAATGACTTGCTATTTTTAAGAATAATGATAAAACTTAATCTGATATCGACATAAAAACTCCACAAAAAACGTTAGGGAGATTGATATAAGAAGGAGATTGAAACTAAAATATATTATCTATTGTCGGCGTCTACTGATAACTTTTTAATGATTAGAAAGCATTTCAGGGTCAGCAAAGATTGGTATGTACCAGTTTGAATGAAGTGGAATGTGTTCTATATGCCAAACCCTTCATTTATGTTGCAGAAAAGTGCGAAAAATATGTAAAAGTCGAGACAATTTCAATATAAATATCTGTGAAGTGTGGAATAGTAATACAGTCCAATCATTAAATGTGATACACGACGGCGATACTGTATAATTTGGGCAAACGACTCGCACAAACATTTTGATTTAGGTTCTACTTAAGATAGCTCTACTTCAAAGTTGCATTATACCGAGGGTTGTTTTTACCCTGGGAGTGGATTCCACCTCTTCTTGGGAATGAAAAATGTTTCATTAAAATAAGTCCGGGAAAGAATAAATCGATCAATTCTAAGCAACTATCTTATATTTGTCAAATGATAAAAATTTCAACTTTTAGTATGGTGTGTCCATACTTTTCAGCAATACACTTCAGCATACACTTTTCTAAATGTTTTTGTCAGTAAAGTAGTTCGTTTTTGATATAGTAATCT